AACGTTTCTTTACCTTCAAAGGCCTGCTGGTAGATCAGATGCATGTAAACAACTTATAAATGGTTTGTCTCAAAGTTGAAAAAAAAAGATAGCAAATGTGCTGGTCGTCTCTGTGGATCAATTACAGATCAATCAGCAATGGAGATAAAAATCATTCTGAAATTATAAAGTTAATCCATGGGGATAGGATTTGGCTGGTAAGAAGCAGATCTATACAACTTTTCAGGAACACGGCCATTATGTATAGTGAGGTATTCCTGTACTCTTATTCCATCACATGTACTTCACCCATGAGGCAAAAAGAGAAACTTCAGGCATCTGAATATCAAATTTTGGACACAATAGGTACCAACTTGCATTGGTAAGGAACTCAAATTTACTGTTCTTCTTTCAGAGGTCTGATTTCATCTGATCTTGCTAACTCCCTCTAATTACTTCATTTCTCTCCTCCTGTCTTTTTCCTATACCTGTTTATTTGACATTGTACAAATGTTCTGCTTTAAAATTCTCTTCAGAGGAAATGGCTTATGTATAAATGTAACAAATAGATAATATCTCTGTGAGCTAAAGCCTTGTACTTAATTCTGAGTCCCATTTACAGAGGGACAATTGCTGCTCCAGGAAAATAAGTGAGGGGCTTCAAATATTTAAAGAGCTGTTATGTGTAAGTCTGGATAGCAAAAGGAGATCCAGTGGGTAGAAGTCACAGGCAGCATACTATAACTCAGCAAGTTAAATCTCTTAGACTATAGAAATGTTTGCTCTGTCCAGTACTGAACACTTTGTCATTAGGCATGCTTAATAGAGCTAAAAAAAAAAAAAATTCCTCTTAGGCGTATGATGGAGGATATACCGGCACTGCATAAGAAAAGGCTAAGTCTAATTCTAAGAAGCCTATGATTTTGCAATAAATAATGTTATATGAATAGTTTTTCCATAACTGATATACACAGCCATACGCACCCATGAGATGAGGCAGGTTGACTGAAAATGAACTTTAGGGTGGGATCTGAAGGCAGAAAAAGTTTTGGAAAAGGTAAAAGGTTGAAAAAACAGAAACTTCAAGATAAAATCTAATGGGCTAAAGTAGCCATGCTTATATATTAAGTACATAAGCATGGGTGCCTAACTTAATGGCAGTCTATGTGATTTTTTGTTGTTTGTTTTTGTGTGTGTGTGTGTGTTTTCAATTCTTAAAAGCCTACTGTAGTAGGAAATGTAATATTCTGGTTTTTCTGTTCCAAGTAAGGAGAATGAAAGAAAGTTATTTCCTCCATCCTTGCTCAGGTCTGCATGGGTAGCTGAAGAGCTATGAAGAAATTCCTTTCCAGAGCACTCCTAATAGATAACACCCTCCTTGACCAAAATGCAGAGCTGGCAAAGATTTCCAAACAGATTAACGAGAGGCTTCTGAGAATATTAATTCAAGACTGTTGTTTCTGGAATTTAACTTAGGTCTCTCAGAGAAAAAGCTGATCCGTGAAAAAGAAAGATAGAGGTAAGAAAATTCTAAGACTCGCTGGTCTGGCTGCTGTAATATTGTACCAACACTTCTGCAAAACTGTTATTACTGTTCTAGAGATGCTATCTTAGAAGTCTGTGAATCTCTGTCATTTAAAAAGCTAATCATAACATAATGTTAACATGTGGGAACCAGGCTATTCTTGTTCCCCAGGCGCATGTGCCCCAACTGACCATAGCACTTTGTCAGCACCAGGAGGGTTGTTCTTACAATGTTGCTACTTTCGGATTTCCTTTTTAGAACCCACTAAGTAAAAACAAAACCATGCAATTTACCACAGCCAAGTAAAAGCCAAGCTCTGTTCAGTGTGCGTTTTCCATTTCTTGAGGAAAGGGTGATCAAAACCAACTTTACTCACCGCCGCTTTCTTCCACCAAGCCATTTCACATGGTCTGATCACCCCAAATCACAAATGTGCCTCCTCTCTGACACAGGAATCACCCACATACATGCACCCAAGATTAAAGAAAAAGAGACTCTCCTAGGAGAGCAAGTCACAACGCACTTGCCTTACATTGCTAACAAGGTCAGCGGGGAATGAAAAGCACAAAGTCAGCCTGTGGAAATGGAAGCAGTCTCCGAGGAGCTGCCCACAAAACACTTATTAATTAGGTTATGGCAGACACCACCATAACCAAGTGACCAAAGTTAAAATCATGAGTGACAAAAACGAACATTGTGCTTCACCTGCTCTGACACACCTAGAACGCAGTCCTTCTCTGGCATTCTTGCTAACCCTGAATCTAACCATGACATTAGACAGTTTACAAACTGGCCTGGAATCTTCAAAAAAGTTGCAGCTCACGAATGAAAAAGAAAAGACAGAAAACGGAAGGAAGGCTACCAGAGTCTACAAAGGGGACTTCAACAAAACGACAACTGCATGTGATCCTGGTCCAGAAAAGAGACAATGGCAAAATTTCAATCAAATCCGTTGAATACATAATAATATTCAATCAATGTTAGTATCCATATTTTTACTAGAATGTTAACTTCTAGTAGTGTACTTCTGGTTACAAAAGAATTTTCTTGGTTTTAGTAAATATACAGTGAAATATTTAGAGTTAAAAGGCATTATGTGGTAATTTACTTCCAAATTTACAGAAAAAAGCTTACATACATATATACCTATACATACATACACAAATGCGTGTGTGTACATGTGTCTAGATAGAAAAGAAGTAAGTACAGTAAAATGTAAATGTTAGCATTTGGGGAATCTGGGAAGTGTCTACAGGAATGCTTCATACCATTTTTGCAACTTCTCTAAGTAAAAAGTTTTTCCAAATTCAAAAGGAAAAATAATCTAAGTGGGTCTGAGCTTTTTGAAGAGAGAGCTGAAGGAGGAGGAATGCAGTTGCCCCCCCCCAATTTCCTCTTCCCATGCACCCCTGACCCTGAGAAGCACTGTAATGTCCCGAGTTTCCCTGAAAACTACTGTGGGAGACCCTGCAGGGAGCTCCCTCCAGGTACCATCACATCTCCAAATTCCCAGAGCCTAACACAACTAGAGGCTCAAGAAATGATTGACTGAATGAACATAAAGAAGTATCTACAGAAATTGTGGGCAAACCCCCATCTGTGGTGCTCCATCTACCAAGTTGGTAATACTGTCCCCCTTTTGTATAACGGCTGGGTGAGAATGAGGGGCAGGAGGCAGCAGAAGAGTAAAATACGCTTCTTCCTTGGGCTGTTCTTACTGAGGAGGAAGGAGAACTGAGCATGTTCCCCAGAGCTGGCCTGAAATGATTCTGCTTCTCTGGACTGGGTGGAGATGGGCATACATTCCAGGTACTATATGTCCCAGCATCCAAGGTCTCCTGCATAAGCTATTTGATGCACTGAGATAAGAAGAAATGAAGACCAAGATCCCCCGAGATAACACTAAGGATTGAATAGCTCCGTATTTGGTAAATCCTTCACCACGAGCACAATACCTTCTTATATTCTGTTGTTACTTCCCAAACCAACTAGAACTTGGTTTTTCAAATTCACATTGACTCTGCACATGATATCCCAAATTGGATACATTTTAATTTCCAAAGTTCTAGAAAGCTTTCAAAAAGTTATTTAACAGATAAAAAAAAAGTGACTGCTCTGAAAACTTATCTAATTCAAGAACATTGTAACAGATTGCTTTTCCAAAACATTTAATTCTGAAGAGAGATGAAGGGGAAAAATAGTATAATCCATAGGCCACTGGAGTGCAAGTATTAGGGGAAGTTCCATAACCCGCCCAAAATGGGATCTATGACAAATATGCTTTTTCTAACTACCAAGATAGAATTTCACAATCACGAACACTGTAATAATATTCCAGAAAAATAATTATACAGGGCGAACCACGGCACATAACAGAGGGCAGGACTCCAAACTGGAAACCTGATTTGCATATTAATTCAAATAGAGACCTTTTTGCTTTAATAAGGAATACAATTTTCAAGGAATCCCTAGATAAGATTGTTATGTTCACTGGTAGAGACTTGTTCATCAATTTATTTAAAAATAAGCTCATATGGCAAACCCAAATCATGATGGAGGAAAAAAATCTCTTCCTAATCAATAAATAATGAAGTGAGCCCTCAGAGGAGCAGGGGCAGGTTGGTACAGCGACCCTCTCTTCCTCTTTACTTGCTACATCCGAGAGGCCAAATAATTCTGTCAGAGTTAATTCCCTTCTATAACTTAGTAAGGACAGATATTTAACTTACTCTCAGAGTTTTAGTCGCCAGTTACTAGTTTATTTGTCTTTAATACTCTTTAGCTTCCCATCTCCCAGTTTGAAGCTGTTCCACCTCTCTAAAATGGAGTGAGAGGACCTGAACATATCATACCTCTTTCTAGGATCTCCCAGGGATATGCTGTCTGTATAACTCAAAAAGACTTGGAATAAGACAACACGTAAGAGAGCTACCTGATGAGCCCCCAAGAGCAGCAGCCAGATCCAATCCCTGCTGGGCTCAGTATCCATGTCCCAGACATCGTCTAGTTGTTGGCCTGCCAATGGCATGGCTTTATCAATGCCAGCTGAAATCGCAAGGATTCATGTTACCCTAAGGCTTGACCTAAGTGTTCTGGAAGACAGCCCTCTATGGAGTTTGTATAGAGCCTCAGATCTGTATGCAAGTAGGTAAGATAGTGTAGTACTCTTAATACTTCAATACTTCTTAATCAATCACGATCTCCTCCCCACTCTCACCGCGCCCCCCCACACACACACACTTCTCGTTTCTCCGTGAGAATCCATACTATGATACCATTGGACTGTTCTACAACTGGGATGATAATGGCACTTCAATTAAAATCAAGCCGTTGCCTATTTTTGTCTGAAGAGGAAGCAAATACACAGGACCAAAGGATAATGTGACAGCTCTTGAAATTTGAGCCTTCATGCTGGTCATCAGGCCCTAGTGTGATGTTACCAATTAAAAATGCAGAAGCTTTGCCTGTTGGTCCCCACCCAACTGGTTCTTCTTACCTTTGGTTCCATTGAAATGAAACTGTGGGTTCCTCTGCTTGAGAGAACTGACCTTTTAATCGTCCTGCTATGGTAGAAGTGGTAGTAGTCCTTCAGGGCCCCGATCTGCAAAGATAGGAGGGAAAGAACAAGAGAAAGCAAGTTAATGTATGAAAACAGTCTTCTGTTTTCCTGTTTTCAATTAAAATAAGAACACAAAACAAAAAAGGTCCGTAAATTATGCAGTTGCCTACTCTGCTTAACTGTTACTTGAACCTTGGTGATCACTTTCCAAAAGGAAGACATGTGATATGAAATGGAGTGTCCTTGAGGCAGTGACTGTGGAACTAAAGATTATAACAGAGCAGCGTATCCTCTCCATATCTCCCTTTTAATGTTTAATTTATATGCAGCATTTTAAGTAATTCTATATCAATCTATATCCGAATGTGGGAAAGAGGAAAAAAAATCAAATAGCTATCTGGTTATAAAAACACACTGCACTCTGTTTGCTCTGAGAAACGTACAGTGAAGGACCTTGTTAGATTATTTATATCATTAATCTGAAACAAGTCCTAAGTAGTTGCTCATTCACAAAGAAAACACTACTTAGTTTCCTGACTTCAGTAGACAGTATAAATACATAGCAGTTTTTTATTTATTGCGAAACGAAAAGTGGAATGACAATTTCTAAAACAAAACAAAGATCATATATCCTACCAATCAACTAAGCTTACTGTGTAAAAACAGTTTGATCCATTTTATCTTAATCATTTCTTTAACAAATCAGTCTTCTCATTTGTATACTCCTTCCTTTAGTTAAAAAGTTAGTTCTATTCGGGATAGCTTTGAAAGTAAGTCCCTGTCCATTTTAGGAAAACAAATGAACAAAATCCCAAACAATCATATTCTCTCAGCAGATTATAAAATGTGGATCACATAATGGAAATCAAACAATACAACAAATGAAGACAGGAGAGCTTGGTCTAGTTCCAGCTGACACTCACCAGAAGTGGCTTCCTGGCTAAATCACACATTATTTCTCCATTTCCATTTCTATAAAACTGGACTTTGGGCTAATTTTTAAGATCACTACAGCTCTTGAATTCTATCCTTTGACATGGACACCTTCCTTGCTTTGGGCAAATACATTAAATGGCTATTTGTCCAGAACACCCACCCTGGCTCTGCCCTAAAAGAATGGCCATTGTCAGAATGTTTTCCAACTGGGACAATTTGAGCTTTCCTAACTGAAAACAAAGAAGTGACTGATCCAGCTTAATCTTTCCAGATAAAACGTTTATTTCTTATTTCCATCTTTCCATCACATTCTCAGTCATCACTCCCACCCCTCCAATAAGGACGATCTACTCAATTTCTGTGCCATTTAGAAGTCATCTCCTCACTGAGACTTTAAGCACTAATTGAATGTCTCTAATCATCATTAAATCTGAAGGTCTGAAGGCTCATATTTTTTATTCAAGTGGAAACTGCCCAGATGTACACAGAAAAGATTCTGGGCTCCGAAAACAAGTATAGAACAAAGACAAGGAAATCACAGCTGAAACCGCTAATCTCAGTGATCCTGGACAGTCTGCAACAGCAGCAAACAATGAGGAAGAGGGTGCCAATGCCGGCCCCAGTCTCCGAAAGAGTTTTAAAGAGGGATTTACAGGCCAATTTTAAGATTCCAGAGGACTAAGCATAGAATTCAAGGGGCCACGTAATACTTCATAAGAAAATCTTTTAAAATCCCAAGAAGCTTAGAGTTTTCACCTCATGTAGCTTCTGTCAAGAGTGCTCCTTTGGAAAACAGAGTAGTTCTTATGGAAAAGAACTTAGAATCAGTGAGGAAAAACTTTATACAAAACCCATCATCAGTGTGAAAAACGCCAGTGTGTTTAAGATCAAGTCCACTCAACTATAATGGAATCTCTTTGATTATAAGAAATGAGTGAATTCAACTTAACTATTAAGTTCAAACTATGGATGAAATATACCCCGAGGATATATTCAGATCCTTTGTGCTCTCATTGGTACAGACTGGAATCCTGACCTAATGCAGTGTATAGCGAGGTGGAAAAGAAATTCCATGTGACTGGTACAAGGGCCACATGTATTCAGGCCACTAAATCTTGATAGCAGTAAGCTCTACTGTATCTCCATCTTTCAAGGATTCTGTTTCCTCTACTGCGTTGTGGCATGGTGTTTATTGATTGACTGTTGCCTTGTTTATTGAATGTCTACCATGTGCCATGCATCTTGCTGCTCTTCTGCCTGTTATATTTAACTTCACTCCCACAAGAGCCCTTGAAGATAAACATCATTATCTCCAATTTGATATACAAGGCTGTTGAGGTCCTGGAAGTGCCCAAATGTGCAAATCTAGTGCTGGGACATGGTAAAATGTAAGTTTTTGTTGAATGTCTAGCATCAGGGTCAATTTAGTTAAGTTTCATAGTGCATCCTACGGATAGGCTCAAAAGAGGCATTCCAGCACCCTTCTGGTGAGTCTTTTTGTACTGCAGAGCTGAAAAACTAAACTCAAGGAAGCTAGGTTTCTGAATGTGATTAAGGTTCTACCAATCCAAAGCACACTACAGCATCATAAGGAATGCTCTTGGAGGTACTGACATGTTTAATGGTAGGGGTGGCAGAGACCTTAGTGTCTGGTTGCTAGCTTTCTAGGCATCCATTTGCACACCTTGTTTTGTTGGCAAGTCATAAGAGATTATAGAAGAGCTGCAGGGGCAACAGAGGGTAGCTTCCTCATGCCTTAGTTTCCCGATTGAGGCAGAAGCAACAGCCCTCTTGGAGGCCCATGGGCTTTAGGGGCCATTTTTGAAAGCTTGGCCCTCCTGATTGATTCTACAAGCTATTTAATAGTCTATACTGAATGTCTTCCAAAGTAGGCCCCTTAGCAGATTCAGTATTAGCCCCACCCCACTCAGATCTTCAAAACTTAATAGGTCAGAACTTCTGAAAAAGTAGCTGTATATTTACGTAATCTTGTACAACTCAGAGATCCTAAAAGTTATGTACCTTGAGTCACAGGCTGTAGGCACCAATGATCCACAGGCTACTGGATGTCCCAATGTAACTGTTCTGACATCCTGTTAGATAACTATACTTGATTCCTGTCATCTCAGAGTCATTTGCACCACATTCTGCTTTTGTATGTTTTCTACACAGTAGCCACGACAAGGTTACAAAAGGTTACAAAAATTGGCTATGTCATGTCACACCCCTGCCTAAAATCCTTTTTGGTTTCCTTTTGCTCTTAAAATAACTAGTAATAAGTAATATTTAATATTATGTAATAATATAGTTTTAATAGTAAATCAGAATATCATATCAAAATTTGTGCTGTGCCAGGAACTACTCCATATGCTTTACCTAACACACTGAATAAAGACCATTATTGTCCTCTAACCTACAGGAACGCTGTGATCTGGCCCAGTCTCCTTTTGTAACTTCTTAAATCACACCTATTCTCAATGCACTGGACTCCAGCCACCTGGCCTTCTTCAGTTTCTGGACGGTGTCACGCTTGCTGTTTCTTCTACCTACAGAACCCTTTTACCTCCACCCTTTCCACCTTGTTTTCTCTCCCTCATCCTATAGATCTCACCTCTAGTCAGAAATCTTCAAAGCTCCCCAGACTAGATCAGTTTTCTTTATTATATCATCTCACAGAACCATAGGAATATATACCTACAGTTTATACTTTGATTAATACAATTATTTGTTTAACGTCTGTGTCTCCACCTGTATGCTTGTATGTTCCAATGAGGCAGGGACACATGTGTTCTGTTCACCATATTGTTCCCAGCTCCTAGTACATGGCTTAACATATAATAGGTTCTCAGAACAGATTGCTGAATGAATGATACGAAAATCAGAATCCCGTCATTGCTATAAATGCATACATTAGAGCTGTATGTGATTCAAAATCTCTAGTATGAGCATCACAGAATTATCAAATTAAGGTTAATTTTGGCAAAAATGATTGAACTCTGCCTTAAGTGAAGTATTAACTCTTCCGGACTTACGGCTCTGAAGGTTGTAAGCTGAGATGTCCCTATGCATTTTTCCCTTCAAAACAACACCTAAGGAGTAGTGTGCTTTAGTTCAATTATTCTACCTCATTCTAACAAAATAACGTCATTTCCCAAGGCTAGCGCATGCTCGCTCACTCATCCACGTGCATTCTCTGTCTCTCTCTCTCTATGCATATATGTATGTGTATATAAATAAATATATATACACACATACATACATACACACAAATTTTACATACTATATATATTTAAAAGCATATTTATGTCTCTCGTCTATTAATATGCATGTCCTTATTGGCAAGAACTGTGTCTTTTATATTCTTTCAATAGCACTGAGCATGTTGAGGGCATTTAATAAACATTAAGAAGAAAAATGTCGTAACATGTTGGGAGTTACTCAAAAGAAAGACAGTGTATGAAAACAGAGCAGTAACATCTACAAGCAGGCATTCCATCTAGCTCCTCTAGGATAATGTAAAACGAGAGATGACTGTATTGACATGTTATACAATAGCAACAAGGGCTAAAACAAGGAACAATATATAACTAACATAGGGACATTTTATAAATAAATCAGGAACCATGGGAATATGTGAAGTAAAAACTCAAGAGCAGATAAATCGAAGCTTGACCCTTTCCTTAACACCAGATAAAGGAAAGAGAATAACCCCTTCCCTCTTGGCCCTCTTAAGCTCCTCTTCTGTATAGCAACACACAAACATTCTTCCCTGTCCAGCAACATAACTCTATACACAATATTAAGTGTATGAATTCCACCATTCATTCTTAATTCTGTCAAAGTTTTGTGCTTTTTCTTCCTCAGTGGTAGCCCCTCACCCTTACACTCAAAGTTTTCTTATCACTATCCTTTCTCAAACTAAATTGTGTTCTTAGGGAAAGTTTTTTTCTCTTTTTTATAAGCTATACTAAGGTATTTTTTATGCTCAGGTGTAAATGACTAGTAGGACTGAATGTCTTAGTTCTTCCTGGGACAACTGCATTTGATCAGAAACTTAAAACTTAAGCCCAATAAATGAGTCCATTGTGCTTG